CTTTTTTGAGCACTCTTTGATAACTGATACGAGCACACTTGCAGGGTACCCACTACACCATCAACCAGCATAATTTTTGTGTAGTATGGGAGGCATTTGCTTTGCCATTGTTCGTCATTCTTCAGAGAAGTGTGGTACCCGCTACACACTTGTAAGGAACTTCGTCCAGTTTATTTTTGCTGTGACTAACGACAATGAAGAACCTTGCCTGAAGTTTTTGTAATAAAATGGAGCGTTTTACGACCCACTGCTCCTTAAACAATTCGCATTCTGTGACACCTAATTGTTATTTTACTGCTCTAAAATGCTTTACTACCCACAATAACGTGAATTATTCCCCGATATGAAGCCTGTCTAAGGCCAGTTAGCAACAGAGTTGCAAGCACCGGAGTAGCTCTGTGTTAGAACACTGGGCATGCACGCAGGGAACTCGGGTTGGAATCCTATTGCACCATTGGTGTTTTCATTTACTTAGTTAATTTGTTTCTTATTATGGGCGATAATGGTTATGGACACAATCAACGGCGGTGGAGGCGGAGATCTACGGCGCGGGCGAGCCTTGCTGTTATGTCAGAACAGCTTTCTCTGTAAAATGTCCACTTCAAGGGGGTGCCTACCCCAAAATCAAGAAAATGCTTCCAAACATATTCTTAAAAATCTTTTTCCACGTACGTACCAGTGCAGTGAGTCATTCGAATAGTAATTCTCGTTTCGGTGAGCAGGAAAAAGACTTCATTTCAGGCCAGATAACTGTATAAGTAAACCCAGTCCTCTAGATCAGTGGCTGCTAAGCGTATTTGCTGCTTCCTGCATTCAGGTTTAACCAAACAATACTTTGCTCTATATTTTGTTACACAGATTTGAACACTGGTCTCAGAGGCTAACTTATCTGGTTTTATAGATGTCGCCGCAGCTATGCGCGCCATTCACATTGTAAACAAAAGAAGGTATCACGATGACAGATGTTTACATCAAACGTATTATATCACGCAATATGAACTGAAACGTACATGTAGTCGTGATTCCATTGCGCGTTTTGTAGAAGTTGCAAGATCTCTTTCAGAATATAAGTGAGAGTACGCTTTATATTTTGCATATCTCCTTACGTGTACATGTATACATTGTCAAGCAGACTTGGTACCATGTAGGCAACAGCTCGGGCACTATGGCGAGTTCTTTAACTCTCTCAATTTTCGAGCTCTGTTGCCCAAACAATAGAGTTTTACACACAGCTACAGAGCAGTAGTACTTTCCATTGTGAATATCTATTGATGCGAAACGCAAACACACATACACACTTGGCGCCAATAAAAAACACGTTTCACTTGGAGTGTGATTTTTTCATCGTACATTCCAGGGGCGCAAGCATTTTTGCGAAAAGGAAATGTCTTTCAAACACGTTTTCAGCAGAAAAAAAAGAGGTCATCGCACTCGATTGCTGTCATAGAGCAGCAGCTTTCTCTGCATGGATGACGGTGAGGTGCTTGTTTTGTTCACCACAGAGCAAAAAAAAAAAGAAGAAAGAAAAAGTGCAAGTGCGCGTGTGCATGAGAGGAAGCACAAGACATTTTTTTGGTGTAGTTGACAACAGCTCATCATAAATGCAATGACGAGAAGCAGCGTACAAAACAGCGACAAAAGAATTAACGACCGCCCTATCAGAGAAACAGTACTCCTAATTCATCATCCCGCGGCGCAAACTCGTTTTTGTTGATCTTTTCACACACCTCTCCCCACCTTCGGATATCATTTTCTTTCTGCTTCACTGTTACATAAGCGTCCCCGCAAGAGAAATGTGGAAAGCCAATTTGTATACGTAGTTTTTTTTCAGCCGACACACGCCATAAGTACCATGTGCCTATTGAGTAAGCTATGTAAGACCTCTTCAGTGAGCTTCCAGTTGTGAGTGTGAGTCTGCGTCGTCGTTCTCGTTTGCTTCTGTTTTCTAATGCACCCGTCTTCATTGCATTTAGAGGGATAAAAATGACCATGATAAAATAGAGGCTCACATTCAGGTTATTGCGCAGTATTATAAAAATGAATATTTTCGAGTTTATTCGACAGAAACGATCTTGTGAAATTGACTCCTCAACTTCGATATATATATATGACAGTATCCTTCCAAGACAATAGCAGGTGGGCTTACAAGTTTGACAAGCATGGTAAAAACTAAATGAAAACAAAACAGCGAAATTTGCAGGAATCCAGTGGTGTGATTGCAAAGGTGCACCTTGTCAATTGTTAACAATTACTGTAGAATAATATACAAATGTACATGCGGGAATCACAAAGAAATATGCCAATCCGTATAAAATTATGAGACAAGTGTTGCGTAGCCAGATTTGCGAGGGAAGGCTGGGAGTTACACTCAACACCATCTCCAATTCTCGTATGTTGCTTTTGAATATTCGCATACACGCACACACAAGAGCACACATCATGAGTGATCGAAACTCTCCCCAGTCGAGAACAATATCTGGCTGCAGTTGTAAACAAGTTTGCACTCTTAAGGGTACGCTGCCGAGCCTATAAGACCATACGACTTGGAGAAAGTGTACATTCCTAACGTTTGTTACATATATTTGAAAAAATATTAGTAAGATATAACAGACAGTCATGTCATGGACAATATAAGAAATGTTATTAGAAGTGATTGTAATGATATGTTAATAAAGAAGAGTTGACAAAAAAGATAACTTGCCGCGGGCTGAGACAAAGCCAGTGACATTTCGAATATCGCGTCGGATGGTCTGGTGAAACAACTGAGCTATCCCACTTCCCGCCTAATGGGGTATATGTAAACACGACAAGGTTGTTCTAACAAAGCAAAACACCCACGTCACGGGTGTTTTAGACCTTCGAAACATTCAGGTCAAGTTTGTTTTGTCTAACCAGAACACTATATTGTAGGGTGTTAGTTATAGACTAGAAAACACACTTAAGGGCGCAATCTGGTTTTGAGTGTAGCTTGAAGCTCCGAATTATTTGAATCCCTCAAAACTTAAACCAGGCACTTAAAAAGAGCAGACGGGTGTCTTGCCCTTCGCCCCATTTGAACAGTGGACTTCAGCTACCGGGAATCGAAGCGGCGACCTTCTAAAAAGCAGAAAAATATCGTAGTCCTGAGGACATGACTGTGGGCAAAAATAAAATTCACCTATAAACGAAAACAGCTATAAAATCCAGCGTGCAACATGCAAAAAAAAAAAAACTACTGTTTTTCTGCAATAAGTAGTGAGCTCTTGCGGATTTCTCAATGCATATATTCCCAAACAAATGTACGTACGCAGATGTGCCCGCAGTTCTGCGTCCGGTAATGGGAAACTATTTGCATACGCACGTAACGCACGTGCTGATGGCTTGAAGGGAGTTTTCGAGACGCGCTACGAACACAAGAGAAGCGTTGCAGTGCCGTCAATCATTAGTCTAAATTTGCAATGACAGTTTAAGTATTGTTGCCACAAATCGTTATAAGTTTTAAACGTGGTGTTCATTTCAATCAGTTATTTAATGCTATCTGTCCAGGTTAAGGTGAAAAGTGGTCTTACAATTTGCCTCACGTACAAGACGCCTTCGCACACGCGCAATCAGATCTAAGGCAACTGAGCCCTAGAAAACAAGCTCGCGTGCTCGAGTGAGAACTCTATCTTTAAAAAAGGTTGCGGACATTCTGGCCTTGCGTCTGAACCCTCCCCCGCACTCGTCAACGAATGAATAACACGGGAAAATACAAGGGCGGCAATAAATCTCTGGGCCTAATTATAGGCGGTAAAGTTTAACATCTGCGAAATACTAAGTAACGTCCAGTAAATTGCCGATATTTTAATATTAACCTTCCGCAAGGTTATTCTCGCAAACGTCAGTTACCTCGGAGATGTTGGGCTCTCTTATATCAGTCTACTTATCAGAGAAATCATCGTGCATTCATGTGTGCTACTATCGCGGTGTTCTCTGGACGTGATGCTGAAGACAACAAGGTTGTCCCGACGAAGGAAGAGGAAAGGGAACGAGAATGTTTTGGCACAAATATAGTGGCATTGGCAGCCACGTGTGGTTCTGACAAAGGAAACTAGCGTCCATATTTATACAGGTCATGCAAGGGTGGATATTGTGAATCGAGAGGCCCTGCTAAAGTATGCGCTATCAAAAAGTCCAACTAAAATACTGAATAACACTGATGCGCCCTTATACACGAATAGGCTATGCGCACGCTAGGTTGCTGCGTCACTTAGTTCGGACCGGGAGCGTAAACCCTGGGCCTTTCAGCAAGTCGAGGAAGCAGCTGACCTTTGGCCAAATTCAAATGAAGTCCAGGCCCATCCCATTATTTGCGGGAATTTTAGCATGGTTCTTTCAACGGAGTTGATGTAAATCGTTAGCCAAAAAGTATGTAGCCTTCATTGGAAACAATATCAAAGGCAAATGAATTCCTGCCATTGGGATTGTTATCACTCAGAAACGACCCCCCCCCCCCCCCCACCATCGCAAAAAAAAAAAGGGTGTTCTGAAATACAATGCCCCTCACGCTTGCAAAGGCACGTTTGTTGTGCGCAGAGATTCAGTGGCTGCAAGGATACCGTGGAAACTTGTTCTTTCAAGTGGTATTAACAATATTGGTATCTTGTATTTTGCGTGCTAAAAGCGTGATGTGATTATGTGGCAAGGCGTAGAAGAGGTCTCCCTAAGTTTGACAAGTTTATTTTCCTAAAGGTCCACTGGCATCGCACGATACATGGACCTCTACCATTTCGACGCCATGGAAATGTGACTAGCGTGGCGGGCAACGCACTCGCAACCTTCGAAACAACAGCCGAGCTTTCTATAGCCTATGCACCCCCTTGGCAGGCGCATCCTATCTTTGGCCGGTACAGTTAGTTTCGGACATCATAAACTCTGTCCCATGCAGACAACCAAAAGAGTTGCGAACTTATCCTCTGACGGAGAAACAATTATCGAGCACGGCAAAAGAATGAAACTGCACGTGTATAAAATTTGCTTACCTTCCAGCATCAGCAGGAGCCACAATCCCATTCGCGCACGTAGTAGCGTATAAACCATGCCTTCTATTTTTTTTTTCCCGAGTCAATACGCGAGAGCGACGAGAAAGCGAGAACTGCGTACGAGGGCCACTAAAACACAAACTCCTCTTTGAAAGACGAGTGTGTTTCGCTGCAGGGTTGCAACGCCACTGCCGATGATGGTGCACTCCGAGCGACTTGGCTCGATGTCGTCATGACCGGCGTGGCACACCATCCAAGAAACCAGAACCACTTCCTTTCCGTCTCGCCAGTTCCATCTTCTTTCGCTGCTAATTTATCCTAATCTAACCTCACTCGCACTGTGTATAGCCAACAGAGGCACCTTCTAATAAGCGTGGTTGACTGCACGGTATTTCGAGTGTCGAAAAAGCACCGCACAGCCTGACAAAACAACCGTCGTTGCGTCGGCGATGTGCACTTCTCCGCGGGTCACCGGTCATGCACCGAGATCAGTCGCCGGTTGCTCTCTCTCGCTCTCTCTCATTTGCCCTCTCACTCACCGCTACCTCACTGCTGGCAAATCGAGAGGGTAATGGCAGTGAGTGACCCGCCATTGGCCGCGCCGTTGTAGCCGTCGGTGAAAGTCGCCCCAGGTAAGGGAAAGCGGAGCACCCACTCTCTGATGCCTCTCTCCATAATCTAAGGGCCTTCCATCCGGAGGAGGTGCACGTGCAAACGAACAGAGCACGCGGTTCCGAGCTGAAGAAGTCTTGAAACCAAACGCAGCGCTCAGTCCTTCAGCCTCTGTCTCTCTCAAATACCAGAACGTGTCATGAATTATTCTGTGCACAAAATGAAGCATGCTTGCGTTTTTACTTCTCAAGTGGGTGACTTATAACCGCCCTTTTCGGTGAACGAGTCATCAAATGAATTTTGAAGGGGTTCTCATAAAATGAAGATTTTTAAAACAAAATTCATCCCAGTCCGGTATCAAGCTCGAAACCAATGCTTCGCCAAAGCGTCCCTCTACGAACTCCGGAAAGCAGAATAGCTTGGTAGTGCAAGGCCTGGTTACCCAACAATTAAAGTACATGGACATGGAGCAGTAGTTTCATCACCCTTCGGCAACCTTGTGGAATTTCGCAGAACTCATTTGCATCTTATTATATGTAAACAAAAGTGAGGAGTCGAGGAGGTTGCTGCCTTTATGTCGGCACTAACTATATACTCTTCTCTTTAGCCACGCAATATCAAATGCTAAAAAAAATAAAAAAAAGACATCGAAAGAGTAGAGCCTGCGGAGTTTCGAAAATAAATGTTTCTGCACACACGTAAAGCAAGCCATACGTAAACCCCAACTACCTGGGGACTGTTTGACTGGCTCCTCAAACCAAGCACCCAGCCTTCCATCATTTTGTCTCCATGAAAATACAGCCGCCGCGTCTCAAGTTCAATACCGCAATCGGTAGATCAGCCATGGAGCACTGCACCAGTGTACCATAATTGCGGGTATCATTTACTTCTGTGAAGCATATCACATTGGAAAGCTCGGATTTTTTTAGCCACTGGTCGAACTTTAGTCGAACAGGAGCACGGAAATAACGGTACGCCCGCTGTGCACGCCTCTTTTCATATTTTACTGCTCTAATTTTCTATTGTCTCCTCAAAACAGTGCATCCTCTTCTAGTACATTCATCCTTCCGTGTCCATGAGGACGCTTCGCTCAGGTCAGCGCTAGTTGTTTACGCGGTTGTTTACTTCTTCCTGTTTCCTAGAGCATACCTCAGTGCAATCAAGCTGCAGCACGTCCTTACTCACTCGAGTTTACCTGACCTCGTTGCCAACGCACGAACGTGACGGTGTTTCCGGTGCGTAACAAGTCACTTGACACCAATTGGCTGTCGGCTTTTGTGAGTTATGTAGACAAGTACATTCTCCATTCGATCACGCACACTAGCACGCTGATATGAATGTTCATAGTAAGCAGCGTTCTTCTTTGGTGGCTATTGTGCGCCTAATTTTAGGCTGGTTTTCTACCCGTTTCGCAGCGAAAATTCCCTGTTGGCGCCATGCCTTTTTTTCTTGCTTATTCAAGGTTCTTGTTTTACTTGTTCAAGATTCTTTTTTTTATTCATCAATAAGTAATTGCGTCCATTAAACCGCTCCTGTTCTGTTGGTGTACAAATTTAGCAATAATATTAAGTGACATTGCCACTGTGCCTATACTTGCTTGAGTTCTAGCGCCTTTTCAAGTCCACCCAAAGGCAACCCTGATAATAAACGTCAGCGCGTCAATACATACCTTGCAAGATAGTATGCAGCGCACCAAACCTAATGTAGACGAGCGCACCGGATGCTTAGTACCAAGTTCACAGGGTCAGTGTGCGCTTGTACTGAGCATACGAAGCACGTTTGTGTTTTCGTTTTTCAAGCGGGTAACTGGCAGCCATCACTTTGTAGCTCCAATCAATACAGAAATTCAGATGAATTTCTGAGAAAGTAAACATTCCTGCAATGAATTCGTCGCAGTGCAAGCATAATTGATCTATGATAGCGCATTTACATACGTACAGCACACTGATGGTCTAGTGGATAATGTATACGCAGCTGCGAACCCACAGGTAGCGGGATCGAATCCCAGCTGCGCCGGCTGCATTTTCGATGGAGGCGGAAGTTTTGTAGGACGTTGTGCCCAGACTCAGGGGCACGTCAAAAAACCCCAGGTGGTCAAAATTTCCAGAGTCTTCCACTACGGCGTCTCTCATAACCATACGGTGGTTTAGGGACGTTAAACCCGACATATCAATCAATAAAATTAATCAGCAGCGTGAGATAGTGCACTGCACGTGCTACGCACTGACTCTGTCAAGTGTATTCTCGTGCACTACGCAAGACAACACAGGTACCGTACTCAAGCATTCAAACACGACATCATTTTTTCTTAGTTTAAAAACTAATAAGCACAATTGCTCGTGAAAATGATTTGCATGTCATTACAAATAAAGTCTCTGAAGATATTGTTGGCTTTGATGTACGCGTTAGTGTAGTAGTTGCGTCGATATGTACTAAACAGAGTGGAAGCGAACGTATGCGCGTTACTTAGCCCTAAGTTTTCCTATTTCAATACATCATTGAAGTACATTGGTCATGCATACATGCTGTATACTAGTCCTCGAAGATATTCACATGCTGCGAAGTAATAAAGTATAGGGCCCACAAGCGCACTATACATCTTCCTTCCTTGGTACTAGTGTGACGTGTAGTGTGCTAAGCTACGTGCATTGATACCATGTATTGCGTGTCTACATTCTGTACACTATAGTCTAATAGTGTGTAAATACACACTATAGTAAATAGTCCTGCTTTTTTGTATGTGTTATCAGTAGCCTGCAATTAAGTTGCACTATTCGACCTGTCCCACCATGCCCTGAGAAAATCTTATAGCTTCATGCTGTCTTTCGTGCATTGCCGAAATGTGCGTTGCCTGTCAGATTGAATTTTGTTCGCAAGGACGAAGCACGCGCCCAACGATTGTGTTTATTCGAAAAAGGTAGGCTATAGGTCTGACACGGTGAAGAGATGGAGTAAGAGCCTTGTCATACAGTTCACGTTCAAGGCAAATGCTTTTTAAGGGTACGTAAAATGAACACGAAAGAAACCACAATTTGACAGGACAGTTCACCGGAGTGAAGGCAAATAACTTTGCAAATTAACGACCGATGTCTACCGTACGGCAGTATTTTGAGTTCCTCATTTGGCAGCTCGTTGTGAACTCGTTGCTCTTGGCCACGGAACGGAACTCTGAAGGGTGGACGAGTGAGCTTCAAATTCCTCGAAGCGACGGACACCGAAATGAACTATTAGTGAGGATGACACGTAACACTGCCTCGACGTGCTATATCTCTTTATATCGAATATATCGATTAATTGAAAATAGTTACACAGCGTTAGTGCATATGGTTTATGTACCTGTTTGCTTTTCGTTCTGAGAGTTTGATTTCTTTTTGACGCATTGCATTCACCGATGCTCATCGTTCACTATCTTAGAAGCTGTCTGTTTGGCAGCCTGCATTCTCAAGATCTCTTCACGCAATAAGAAGAGAAATGCTAAAATCAACACTGAGCTAAAACAAGAAACATCTCATACATGAGGCGGTAACAAATATGACCCATGAGCGCCACCGAAGGAGCGCGCTATAAAAAATGCTTATCTTAAGGATAGTGCTCCTTCGTCTTTATTGCCATCTGTTTGCATTTTATCACACTTAATGTTTTTGAGTGCGAAGCAGCAACTAGGTCGAAAGATCACGTTCTTAAAATATCACATGAATACACCGAAAATCAACAGATGCTGTGAGCGCCCATGAATTAAATTTGATTGAATGCGCTTGTTATTATGTCCCTCCCTATATTTGCTTCAGTGTTTTTGTGCCGTTTGATCAATTTCTCCTGTGAAGGGCAGTGAACCGAACGAGTGGCTGGTTAACTCTCCTACCTTTAACTCTCCTACCTTTCCATGCTTCTCTTTCTCTCTCTCTGTCTCTCTCTAGATATATACGGAAGGATGAAAATGAAGGCTAGAGTGCTTTTTTTTTCATCTATTCGGCCATCGTGCGTTATTTCAAATGAATCTGCAAAGAGTGGTTCGTCTTTTCCTTTTTACGATACATTATTCAAGAACACGCTTTATCCCACGTTTGCCTACGCCTCTGACACGTGGTGGTCGGAAATTCCACGTTGCGAGGCTCGTCTGTCGCTAGCGTCGAGCGGGAAAAATGCTTCTAAAAATGACCGTCGCCTCTGTAGGAAGACTCCAACGCCTAATCCGAACGCGTCGGCCCGCTGCACAAGAAAAGACGTGACGGGACGCTGCACAACGGCGGGCAGCCGCAGCAAGAGAAAACAGGTGCGGGAGCATAGACAAGACGGTGCGCCGCATAACGTGGCGTAAAGCGACTCGGACGCGCCTCACAGAGCACGACGCCATCACCGCGTCTCCAGCACGCGAAGCCTTTGACGGTGGTTCTCACAGGGCCGAATCCCGCATTCACTTTCGACGCCCGCAGTGACCATACCGGCTGCCAAGAGAAGCGCGTTCTCAATCGCTTGCGCTTCGCTTTCCGGTAGCCCGCACGTGCCCGTGCGGAAACATATATAGTCATTCTGCATTTCCTTGTTGGATTATTTCTTGTTGCGCATACGCATACCGTATTCTATACCGTATACATAGACACTGTACCAGCCAGCCAGTGCCAATGACTCCACTCGTTTCCTTTGAGGTGAATCCCTCCCTACAACGCAGGCGACAAGGCCAAGTAGGAGGTACATGAAAGCGTGAACAAGAGTTACAAAATGATAGCGAGTTTAACTAGCGATGACCTGATAGCACTGCTTCGTACCGCCAGTCATGGGGTTACCGAACGCGGCTTCGGCTTCAGGATAAGCGTGCAAGTCGAAGACATCCTGACATTAAGCGTTGTTTTGCTTGT